TCTCTCTCTCTCTCTCTCTCTCTCTCTCTCTCTCTCTCTCTCTCTCTCTCTCCCTCTCTCTCCCCTTCCCTCTCCCTCGCCCCCCCTCTTTCTCTCTCTTTCTTTGTCTTTTAGAGACAGAGTCTCTCTGTGTAGCTCAGGCTGCCCTTGAGTTCACTTTGTAGCCCAGCCTGGTGTCAAACTCGCAGCAGTCCTCCTGCCTCAGCCTCCTGGGTGCTGGTATTACAGGCCTGCACCACCAGGCCCAGCTCTGGCTTTCTTTCAGTTCTATCTTTGTCTGAGTTCTAAAATCCAAAATGGGAAGTTGAGACCCCTGTGCTGAGCCCAGGAAGGAACTGCCTTGCCCACTTGTTCCCAGAAGGGGAAACTGACGCTAGGACCCCGCCCCCCCGGGCTGCTCCTTTCCTGCACTTTCGCCTGTGAAGGTCGCCTCCTCAGGGAAGCTCTTCCTGACCAGCATGGCCAGGGGCTGCATGTGATGACCCAAAGCAGCCCGTGGAGCAGGGCACTGGGGCTGCCCCGGGCTCGGAGCCTAAGCAGTTCACCTTAGGGCGTTCCCTGCCGCACCTGTGCACTCCCACGGGCGGGGCTGTACCCACACGTCAGGTGGAAGGAACCCACTCGCTCAGGTGGCCCTAGGGATAGAGCGACCCAGCCCATCTGCCCATGCCCTGACCACAGGGGGTGGAGGGGCTCCTGGGTCCTGGTAGGACAGAGGACACGCTGCCGGGGGCAGGGGCGTCTCCCCAGGCCTGGCGTGTGGCGTTTGGCTGTGGATGCTGAGGCTCAGGGTGGTGGCACTTGACACCCACAATCTCCGAGTGGGTGTGGGGAGTCAGGAGGTAATCTAATCAGAGGGCAGTGCGGGCCCCTCCACCAGCCGTTCTTATGCCACCCTTGTCCCCAGGACCTACAGGTGATCAGCACGGATGAGAACCAGGTGTTCGTGGCAGTGCAGGAATGGTACCAGACAGACACCTACAACCTGTACCAGTCGGATCCACGCGGTGTGCACTACACCCTGGTACTAGAGGACGTGCGCAGCTCGCGGCAGGCGGAGGAGAGTGTGGTCATCGACATCCTTGAGGTGGGCCTTGCACACGCTTCCCACCTGGTGCCATCCTAGCTCTGACTCTCCACTCTCTGTCCCTTTAACTCACATATAGCTCAGAAAACTGAGGCTCAGAGTGGGCAGAAGGCTGACCCAGGCTGACCCAGGCCGACCCAGAGAGGGAAGCCAGAGCCCCTCGGCCTGGTGACTGCTGGCTGAGGCTGCTTGCAGGCGGCCTTCCTCAGTCCTGCAGGCTGTCCTGGGCACCACCAAGCAGGGCCCTCCCAGCCCTGCTGCTGCCTGACCGGGGTGCAGCAATGGAGGGTGTGGTACGTGGACTGTTCTGCCTACAGCGATGTGTGACAGGATCTCAGTGTCACACAGGAACATACATGGGCCTCCTCCTCCTCTTCTCCAGGGAGCAGGCAGTTCCCCTCCAGCAGTGGCCATGATTCAGTGTACGGTGCCTGGGAACACAGTCCAGGTGGGAGTCAGGGAGGGCTTCTTGGAGGAGGCTGCAAAAGCGAGTGGCAGCCAAGCAGAGGTGCCAGGCAAGGAACTGGGAAGAGCACAGGGCCCAGAAGCACAGTGGCCACCAGCCCTTGCAAAGGGCCTCCAGGTGGCTGTGCCCCTAGTGGGCCTTGGCCTCTGAACTCCACCTAACGAGGACAGTGGTGGTGATAGGTACAGCTCTGGACTTCGCTTGCCAGGGTTCATCTCTGGGCTCTGGCATGCTTGCTGTGTGTCCCTGGGGGGTTAGTTACCCCTCTGTGCAGCACCTGCCTCTTGGGGCGGCCATGAGTGCTCCAGGACCCTACCTCACCCATACGCAGACCAGCGTCTGCGGCCCCACAGTGTTCACAGCACTCACTGCCCAGTACTAGGGTTAACTACAGCAAGGGCTGGCGTGACAGTGACATATGGCTCACGGGGTCTGTGGCATACAGCCAGTACTGTGCCAGTCACGGTGACTGCACTCACTGCCTCGGAAGGCTGGCTGTGAAGTCCCTGCCAGGCCAGGCAGCACGAGTTTGAGCTCCCGCCTGTGCTGGAGCTTGACTGAGCAAGGGCAGTTGGAGGCCTCACAGTCCTGTCCCTGCCCTGAGCGGCTATGGCCACAGCTCAGAGACAGCTACAAAGGGGTCTGAATGGTGGCCCCTGAACAGATGTCCCCATCCTCACCCTGGACGCTGCCAAGTGACCCACCCCCTGGGGGTGCTTGCAACTGTAATCAAGGACCAGACTTGGAGGAGTCATCTTGGCTTCCCCAGGTGTCCCCAGTGCAGTGCTCAGGGCCCTGATAGGACCCAAAAAAGGAGGCCTTGGGTCCAGGGGGCTGGGGACGGTGCAGCCACACGCTGGGGCCACCAGGGGCCACAAGGGCCTGGAAGTGTCTGTGCTTTAGGCCTGCCAGTTTGTGGGACCCACCCAGGAGACACTTGACCCCGGCTGAGGCAGCATCTGGGCCCAGAGTGTTCTCAGGGCCTGGGGAGGGGAAAGAGGTGGAGAAAGGATCCCAGAGGCATGCACAGGAAGTGGAGGTGGTGGCCTCCCCAGAGCCTCCAGGGGAACCCGCCTGCAGCACCCTGCCTGGCACACTGAGGTCTTAGCTGTGAGACTGGAGTTCCAGAAAGACAAACTCACGTTGTTTAGGCTGCCAGATTCCTGACGAATCGAGTTGTCACAGCAGCTGTAGGTGTGGGCACTCGGAAGGAGGGGCTGCTATGACAAGTATCTGCGCAGGTGCAGTTGACTGTGAAATTGGCAGGGGCTGGGAAGTTGTGAGGAGATAATAGAAAACCCCTAGATTGCCTTGGACGCATTGTTAGAAAAAGGGGCCTGCAAGGCAGAGTCCGCAAGGCGCGAGAGCTTACTGCTGGGCAGGGCGGGGTGCTTGTCAGAGAGTGAGGATGCACACCCCACAGGTGTCTGCAGAACAGAGCCGACACATGGGCCCTGGATGGGCACTGAGGAGGCCGATGGGCAGAGTGTGGCTGGCGTGGGCCGAGGAGACGGGAGAGCTGCTCAGGAGGAGCTTGGCTTGGCTGTGGGAAGCAGCCGCCCCCGAGGCCCCCGGGGGGCACAGCCAGAGACCATGTCAGGAAAGCGGGGGCTGTGGGATGAGCACAGGTGAGCCAGCCATGCGTGGGGGCACCTCCGAAAGATCTGACCCCCAGTCACGTGGAAGCCTCCCAGGAGTAAATGGGCATGTGACTTCCCTCTGGTGACAGCTACAGAAGCCATAAAATGGAGGTGGGGGCACCCGGGACAGGTGGCCTCTAGAGTCAGGGACGCACAGCTGGCGGGCTATACCTGGACTCCCCCACTTGGTTTACCTGAGGACATAGGGAACTCTGGCCTGGTGGGAAGCTCTGGGATTTCTTGGCTTTGAATGGATGCTGTCCTGAAACGAGACCTTCAGGGACCCTGGGATGGGTTGCAGGTATCTGCATGAAGGACTCATGTACATCTTTGGGGGTAAGAGGGTGGGCTGTGCTAGGCTGAAAAATGTCCCCACAATACCCACTTCCTAAATCCTGGAAGCAGTATGTGTGACACATGGCACTCGGTGGGGAAAGGAGGCTGCAGATGGAACTGAGGCCAGCAATACCAGGTGGGAAGACCACGGATTTTCTGAATGGCCAACCAGGGTCAATAGGGCCTCCAGGGTGGAAGAGAGAGGCAGAAGAAGAGTGTCGAAGAAAGAAATGTGAAAATAGAGAGATGCAGCATTGCTGGTTTGGAACAAGAAGGAGAAGATCAGGGCACCAGAGAACAGTGGCAGCCGCCAAAGCCAGAAGTGAGGAAATGCATTCTCTGTGGAGCCCCCAGAGAGGAGCCCCTCCCCTCCCCCGGGTGTGGTGCCTACTGACCTCCAAAACTATAAAACAATATGTGAGTGGTGCTGAAACCACTGAGTCTGTGATAGTCCAAAACAGTAGCAACAAGAAACAAATACACTATCCATCCATTTATCTACCCATTCATCCATCCATCTATCCATTCATCTATCCATCTACCATCCATCCATCCACCCATCCATCCACCCATCCATCCATCCATCCACCCATCCATCCATCCACCCACCCATCCATCCACCCACCCATCCATCTACCCTTTTATCTACCCATCCATCCATCCATCCATCCATCCATCCATCCATCCACCCATCCACCCACCCATCCATCCACCCACCCATCCATCTACCCATTTATCTATCCATCCATCCACCCATCCATCCACCCATCCATCCATCCATCAACCCATCCATCTACCCATTCATCTATCCATCCATCCATCCATCCATCCATCCATCCATCCATCTATCCACCCACCCATCTACCCATTCATCTATCTATCCACCCATCTGTCCACCCACCCATCTATCCATCCATCCATTCACCCATCCATCAATCCATCCATCCATCTACCCATTCATCTATCCATCCACCCATCTATCCACCCACCCATTCATCTATCCATTCACCCTTCCATCCCCCATCCTCCCATTCATCTATCCATCACCCATCAATTCACCTATCCATGCATACACCTCCCCATCCATATACCCATCTATCCATTCATTTATCTGACAATCCATCCATCTTTCATCTATCTGCCATCTATGCTGGCACGACTGACGGTGTGCGACCCATGATCACACATTTGCACAACTTCATGTGGAACATAGGAAGTCTGCTGGCCTCCTGGAGTTGTGAGACATGCAGACTGACACAACACTAAGCCTGGTGCCTGCACCTCCAGGCACTAGTGACTATTTATTTCTCTCAGTGCAGTCATGACCCCTGGCTAGAGGACTCTGCAATCACAGAAGCCTCTGGGTCTCAGTTTCCTGAAGCACTTTTGAGAAACAATAGCACGTGGTATGCAGAGAAGCAGAGGCGGCCTCTGTCCTCCAAGGCATGAGGAACAGGAACTTCCTGAGCCTGGCCCACCACGTGAGCCGGTCTCACTAAATGTGGGTCTAAGTCATCCATGCAATAAGGACTTGCCAGGGAGCTCATCTTGGGACGATCAGGGTTCTCAGATGCAGTTGCCCTTCTTTGCAGACGCCCTGGATCCATGTGGGTCACCTCCATGAGCTTAGTTGGGCCCCAGAGAAATGGAGCCGTGGAGGGAGACAGAGCTATGCAGAGCAGAACTGATCCCCTGAATCAGGAGACTGAGGCCCTCATCCCCAGGGAAGGCCTAGGAGCCACGCCATTGGCCCAGGGCCTGGTGGTCCCCTAGAGGGCTGCGGGGTGAGATCAGTGTGGCCCTGAGCACAGGCAGCCAGGGGACCAGGGCTGTCCCTGCCATCCATGTCCAGAGAGCTCCTGGTCATGGCTCCAAGTCATAGGAATGGTGCGTGAGAGGTCCCTGAAGAGCCCTGGGGGCAGCTCATGGTCCTTCTGTGCTCTGTCCCAGGTCAGAGGGGTGAAAGGCGTGTTTCTGGCGAACCAGAAGGTTGATGGGAAGGTAATGACACTTATCACCTACAACAAGGGCCGCGACTGGGACTTCCTCAGGCCGCCCAGCAGCGACATGAACGGGAAGCCCACCAACTGCCAGCCGGTGAGTGCTCCCCAGCTGAACCAGCTGCACGGCTGCAGGGCAAGGTGGGGGTATAGAAGGGGCCATGGAGAGGGGTGTGCAGCCCGCACAGCCACAAAGCACGATGCCACCTCCCCCAGGGACCTGATGTGTCCCCTGGTGCTAGCGGAGAACAGGCAAGCCACTTCTAGGCCTGGGCAATGACACGTGGTGACACCAGGTCCCTTGGCACAGTTGCATGCGGCAGCCAGGAATCCCAGCTCTGCAGCAGCCCCACTCACCAGGGCCCTTCTGTGTGGACATGGGTGCCTGAACCCCCAGCTGTCAGCAGAGTGGCTCCCGAGCTGGCTAGAGTTCCTGAGTCCTGAGTGGCCCTGGGGGCACAGGTAGCCTGAGAGTCCCTGAGGGTGAGGGTGGAGACAGCACAGAGGGCTCCTGGCCTTCCGTGCTCTGGCTTGGGGTGACACTTGGAGACCAGCAGAGGCCAGGGATGAGCAGGCCAAGTGACCCCAAGTCTGGCCAGGCTTCTGACATGTCACTGTCCCTTGGCCCCATGGGACCACACCTTGCCTATGCAAGGTCTTACTGCCCACAGTGTCCCTGAGCCCTGCCCAGTGCAAGGGACCACACTCTGGAGACATCTAAACCCACCCAGTTCTCTGCCTCAGTTTTCTCGTGTGCAAAACAGAAAGAAACACAGTTTCTATTTTATGGGAATCCACATCCAGCCAACCCACAGCAGCGCTGAGTGCCGGGTCCTGTGCCAGGTGCTCGGGCTGCCTCAGGAAGTGCTGAGAAAACCCCTCTGCAGGTGTGGACCCTGCCACGGGAGACCCAGGCCTTGCCCTTTGCTCACCATCCCAGGCCACAGGCGTCTTCTGATGGGAGCCACTGAGGGGAACCAGTTGGGTCCCTGCCCCGAGCCTAGGAGCACAGTGAGCACTCGGAACCCGGCCTGGGCTCTTCGAGCTCTGCCTGAGAGGCCTCCTTCCCGGGTGGGAGGTCGGGTGGACCGGGCCTTCCAGCACCTGTCGGAGACACTGTTAATTATCCGCCCTTTGCAAAACGCCCGGAGAACAGAACTGCTGTGAAAGGGCTGAGTTTTGTGCCATTGTGGGCAAAGTTAAGCCATATTAATCTGTCAGAGCAAGTTTCTTCCAAGAATAGACTCTTGTCTGCAATTATGCGGCTCAGTGAGGAGATAACCTCGGCGAGATTTATATCGTGGACTTGAAATAATAAGAATCAGAGCGAACTAGCAAAGGAGCCAGCCCAGGCAGGCATGCGGAGCGCCCGACGGAGTGCAGGGAGACAGCGGGGTGCCGGCAGGGCTCCTGATCAAGCAGCGCAGTAGGTGGCGAGTCGCCCACCTCTGGCCCTGCCAGAGGACAGGACAGGCACTGACCCAGGGCTCCCTCATGGTGGGGCCAGGCGCTCTGCGGTCAGAAGCTGCACTTGAGTGCCGACTTCCCGTCCTGACTGTGACTGCTCCTCAGGATGGAGTGCTTGGGGAAGACAGGAATTAGGCAGAGGGAGTAAGGGCTGCTGCAGCCCTGGCCTACGCACGCACACACTCACACACGTATGCATGCACGCACACGTGGCTGGAAGCAGTAGTGAGCAGCTTCCTGGGCAGGCCCTCAGTGCGTGCAGTCTTCTCCAGGGCTGCTGCTCCACATCCTCTGCCCCTCTCCTCGCCTCCTTCTGCGCTCTGTCTTCTCCCAGCCCTTCAGCGGCTTGCTGTGAGTGTCTCCCTCAGTGATGGCATTGCTAGTAGACCGACAGGATCAGATCTGGTTTTGCCCCGTGTGAGGCCACAGGAAAGGGTTCCCCAGCACCAAATTTGAAGCCCTGTGCTGGGGGTCTGGCCAGCTCTCGCAGACTCCACAGGAGCACAGCCGAGGCCTTCGGGTGGCTGGCATGTGCCCTGCCTCTCTGGCCTGCTGACATCAAGAGGCTCTGCTGGGCACTTCTGCAGAGCACCTACCAGCCATCACCTGTGGAAGGGCCGCCTCAGGTCTCGGAGCCCAGCTGCCTCGCAGCCTGCCCAGCCCGATGCACCACGGTTGCCTCTGCCAGGGCTTCTCAGCACCAGGTGCAGGTGCACCGTTGGGTCTCCTGCCTTTGCCCTGGTAGCCTCAGGGAACCCCATCTGTCTGGGTGCCCAGAGGAGGCTCTGTGATGACCCATTCCCTTCTTGGCCCTGGGTAACCAGGCTGCCCTTCACCCCTGGGCTCAGCCTGGCCCGGCAGCCATGTGGAGCCCTCGTCTCTGCCGTCAGACACCCAAAACCCAAGTGCTCAGGTGCTGGAGGAGTGGTCAGCAAGCACAGCAGAAGCACATGGGTCCCAGGGGCACTGTCCTCCCACGGCCCAAAGGTGCCTGGTCCCTAGGACAGCCTGCCTGTGACGGGCCCAGGAGGAGTAGGACAGCTGTTCCATGAAGCAGCACCTCTGACTTCACTCTGCCCACTGCACACAGGGAAGGGGAGCCCAAGTGCCCAGCACACAGGGCAAGAGAGGGGCCGGGAGAGGCTGGCCCTGCCCTTCCAGCCTTCACCTGGCAGTCAGCCTCAGCTCCTGCCTCTGGGGCTCTGCACTGTCCGCTACCACACCCCTGGTCCTGCCTTGTCCCCAGACATCCTGGGTCGGACTGGCCTGAAGCCTGATTCCCTACAGACCCTCCTCCCTCGTGCTGACCCCACCTTCTCCTCACAGCCTGACTGCCACTTGCACCTGCACCTGCGCTGGGCGGACAACCCCTACGTGTCAGGCACCGTGCACACCAAGGACACCGCCCCTGGCCTCATCATGGGCGCAGGTGGGTGCCACTGTGGCCCAGGGAAGCCCCCTGCACAGAGGGAAATGGGTGGCCAGACAGGGCCTGGGGCCATGGTGGGTCCATTTGGGAACAGTGCCTCAGTTTCTCCAAGATGCTCAGTTCTCACGAAGAACCCTGAGGGGTGACAGGGGTGCAGCGTGGGCATGCGGCATGCGTCAGATGAATGGAAGGAAGACAGGATGGATGCGTGCATGGGTGGGCGCTTGGACAGGTGAAGGACGGGTGGAAGGATGGACAATGGAATGATGTGTGGATGGATGCGTGGACGCTAGGTAGGTGCATGTGGGAAAGGAAGGAGAGAAATGGGAAGAAGAGAGGCAGGGCAGTGGGTGATTTAGATCCTGGCTGGCATCTATGAGTTCCTGAAGACAGTGGAGGAGAAGGGATGGGATGCAAGAAGAGCATCTTTTTAAAAGACAGAATGTAATTGCTGTATGTGTGTGTGGTCCTCATGGAGCTAGAGCCTGCTTCAGGGGTGCCTGCGTGTGTGCTGATCAAATGATGCTGCCAGACAAGACTCGTTTGGGTTAGAAGGGCCATTCTAGGCAGAATCAGGGCCCTGCGGGAGGTCACTGGGCAGGTCCAGGGAGGGGCCAGACCTCGTCCCCTGCTCTGTCACAGCATGAGGACACAGGCGAGGCCCAAGCACGGGGCTTACTGAGCCACCGCCTGGCCGCTGGGTGCGGCTGGGCCCCAGCTGTGCGCTAGGCTCCCGCTGCACGTGCCCCTCGCCATCTCCTAGCGTGAGGCCTGGCGCCCAGCAGGCCCTCCAGGGCTCTCGCCGAGCCGACAGAAGCGGGCATGGAGATTCAAAAAGGCTGACTTGTGCTTTCAGTCCATGGCCAGCCTGCCCCAAGGTCAGCCAAGGCTCCTACTCTCCGAGCTGCACCCTCCAGGGAAGCTGCCTGCCCGGAGGGGAATGGGCGGCCAGGCAGGGCCTGGGCCCACGGTGTGTCTGTTAGGGGTCATTGCTTCAGTTTCTCAAAAATGTTTAACTCTCACAGAGACCCCTGACTGGATGGTGGCTGGGGCTGGCGGTGGGGTCTGGTTCACAGCATGAGGTAAACAGTGAGAAAGGAGGAGGGAGACAACCTTTGCGGACCACGCGAGGCCCCGCCCTTCGCAGCATGCCCTGCCCCCCAGCCCCACCCCCAAAAAGCCCCTTCCCAAGGGCCCACCCCTTTTCCACCAGGTCCCGCCTCAGGGACCACCTCTTCTTACCAGGCCCTGCCCATTTATGCCAAGCCCGCTGAGGCCCTCGTAACCCAATGACCCTCCGCAAGCTCCAGCTCTGAACACGTGAGGCTTCGTGGAGGACACCCAGATATAAACCCTAATGGGATAGGGCGTTAACAGTGTGCTGTAAATCCTCAACCAAAATACAAAAGGCACAGTGTCAGTGTCACTGCTCTTTGAAGGCCATTAGAGCTATGAGTGAGTGCTCTAGCCCCAAAGGCTCTGTGATCCACGAGATGTGTGCAGGCCATGCAAGAAGGCGTTTGCCTGCTGTCAGTGCAGCTCCCCTCCCCCCATTCTTCTTCCCGGGAACATGCTGCCTCCTCCTTACCTCACTGCCCCCTTTCTTGTCTTGGCGGCTACTCGCGCTTCACTTGCATTTTGTGGCCAGCCTGAGCCTGTGGGAGGAAGTGAGGTGGGTGGTCCTCCCAAGCCAGTCCAGCTCCAAACTCGTTGCCCTGATGGGCCGAGCAGAACTGACAGACAGTGAGGTCACTGCCAGGAGGGGCTAGGCCAGCAGTGCCCAGATCTAGCGCCTGCCCCCTGCCAGGCCGTCCATCTGCAGACCTCCGCCCCCAGACCTTCGCCCCTTCTCCCTGCACCCTGCACCCTCTGACAGCTCATGTTTGTCTCTCCAGGCTCAGGGGCAGCTCATGTCCTGCCTCAATCCATACATGGACACTGTCCCTGCAGGTCCCCTATCCTGGCTCTGAGTGTGACTGCGCTGCCACCTTCACCCCTGCCAGACAGGGAGCTATCAGGGAGTGGGGCAGAGTGCATGTGGCTCAGCCTCCCAGAGCTCAGCACAGGGCTGGGCTGAGGGTGCAGACAATGGGTAGATGGATGCACGGATGATAGAAGAGTAGATGAATGGGTGGATGCATACAGGATGGGTGGGTGGAGGTGTGAATAATGGGTAGATAAGTGTATGGATGCATGGGTAATTGGGGGATGGGTGGACGAGTGGGTGGATGCACGGATGGATGGATAGCTAGATAATGGATGGGGGCTGGAAGTGTGGGTAATGAGTGGATGGATGGATAAGTAGAGGGCTGGATTGACAATAGAAGGGTGGATGAATGGATAATGGATGGATGGATGGATGGATGGATGGATGGATGGATGGGTAATGGGGGGATGGATGTATGAGTGGATGGATAGACGGATGGATGGATGGATGGATGACAATGAATGGATGGATAGGTAATGGGGGGATGGATGTATGAGTGGATGGAT